GGGGGGTGGGAAGACAATTTTAAATTAAAATTAATCTTGCTAACTTTCAAAATAACCAGTGGTTTATAAAGAACACAAATTATAAGAAAAACTCAGGTTGAAAGAAACAAGGATTAAGAATGAGGAATCGGGACAAGGACAACAATTACCTAGTCACTTTGTGCAACCAATTAATCACGAATTGAAATATTTTCAAAAACTCGAGGACAACTTGTGTTTCATTTAACATGCTTATTTCTAAACTTATCTTTTAAGAAATTAAAATTCAGATAAATGAACTGTTTTATTTGGGGGAACTCCCCTGGCCTAGTTAATAGATAACTGCAATCTTCTCACCCCTCTCAAGAAAGGAGGAGCGGAAGCCCTGAATACTAATTCTAAGCAATCAATTGGTCACCAAATAGCCTGAGAAAGGCTGAGCCTTACTGCCCCAGGTCAAATATTAAGTCACGTCAAGACATGTAGAATCCTTGAAACGCAGCAGGGTAGCCGCTGGGCTTGGATGAAAGGCCATGTCACTAGTAAAGATTACATGATTGCAATTACACAAGTCACAAGTCCTTTTGCTACTAACAAACTACCACTTTCAGAACACTTCATCAAGCGAGTTTTAGCCATAAAGACAATTAAAACTTGAAGTGCTTTGAACTGTACTTTAAGGAGTAATGGAATCAATAAAAAACTCAGAAACTAGAGAGTTTCTCATTAAAAGAATTCATCACATATTTAATTCACAAATGACACATTTTTTCCCGCCCTAAGACTATGCAGGAATCCAAAACTAACCATGATTATGTGGTTGACCATCTACATGCACACGTTCCCAAGGCTTTTCAACTATCTTTACAATGGCAGCATATACCTGCAAGACAACATGCATAGAATTTTATCAACTAAAGAAATACTTGCTGAAATGTAAGGTATTCAGATGTCAAAAATTAAAAATGTGACAGGACGGATTAAAGAGAATGCATCCCTTTACAGATCAATACTCAGATTTGGACTTCTTACTATTGCTATCAGACATGCATTGTTCCTGAAAATAGACTTCCTAGATATAATTACTAGAACAAAGTGACAGTGTTTATACTTAAAAGAAACCACCAAGCAATCAGATAGCAGCACATGGCTATAAGATTTGTCAATCACAATAGCATAGAATCCCATTTAGCACTTGAAATCATAACTAACCAAAGGCAAAAATATGAGAAAAAACCGAATCATATATCAGAAGACCTAACATTTCCTAATGTAACCGACATGCCAAGAACCCCCAATGTAATTCAAGGATAGAAATACAAAAATAAATAAATATAAAAAGACAGCGATAACATTAATTTCTCTATTATATACAGTACATTTAGTATAAACTATGACAAAACAGAATACTCTGACTTACCTGCCGGTAAAATGATGTGAAGTGTTTAGCTAGTTGAATTGCAAAGTCCTCAGCTGAAAGTTGTCCTTTACATTCCTTTGCTTTTACATATACCTGTACAGAAACTCAGTTAAGCTTAAAAAGATATGTGCATGGCAGTTTTCTACTACCGTAAACTGTTATAGGACAAAATGACTATATGCTCATATATGTTAGAGATCTCAAATCGAACTACAGCTCTTCTGTACATGCTTCAAATTCTTTTTTTTTAATAAGAAAACTTTCTTTCACTGAAAATGATATTAAGCACAAAAGAAACCGGAACTTCAACTTCAAAATTAATAATGCTTGAACATTAGTTTCTTTTAATGAACTTGTTCACATTCAAGGCACAGAACCCGGTGCTGAAAGTCTGAAAGTTCTAAATGAAATATCTTTCTTAGTGACGTGCTTCACATACGGCACGCTTCATTCATGATTTAGTTGTTAAGCTCCACTGGAAGGGACTGAAACAATCAGTCACGAGAGCTTTGATGACGGTGTTAATCCTGCATTATATCAGGTCATAACACCGAAAACTACCATGCTTTTCAATACTACTCTTCCATTAAAAAAAAAAATACCCTTTTCAGATTACCACAAACCAAAAAAGCTTTGACATTTCCAGGAAAAAAAAAAGGGTTTGACTTCATATATTCCAAAATCCAACTCCATTGTCTGCATGTGGAAAAATGTGGGTGACACAAGCTAGAAAAAGACCACACTCCTAAAGATTCACACCCTGCAACTGTAGACCACTGAGGATCTGGAGCTAGAAGCTTGTTCTAAGACATGATTCAAAAAAAAAAAAAAGACTTGATTCAAGTTCAATAATTCCAATTAAATAGGAAAGTCGTACGTTTTAATATTTTATCAATCAGAATAAAAAAAAAAGAAAAAAAAAAAAGAGGAGTTTCCAGGACATCAGACGCCGCAGAAGTTTATTAAGACTAGACTAGAAAAAAGAATATTAGTGAAAAGCAAATGTGAAAAAGGCCTTACACTACAATTAATCGTATTATTGAAATTCTTTCAAAATGTATATATACAACTCTGTTGAAATTAGATACCACCTTAATTTCTTTTATATTAGTCATAGTACCAATCTTTTGAAACAAAAAAGATCTGATTTGAGTTTCGACAATAGATTCTATAATCCATACCCACAAAAAAAAAAAAAAAAAAAAAAAAAAAAAAAAACGATTGATACGAAGAAAAGTATGAAAATAAAAATAAAAGAAGCGATGCAGTTTTCACTATCATTTCTAGTCTAGTCTAGGTTAAAAAGAACGGACGACACGTAGCTTTCATCCAACACAGTCAAAAATATTCAGGATCAGGAGATCAAAACAAAAAGATTAACAAAAATAAGCAAACAAATCAAATCAAAGGAAATGGAAAAGATGAAAATCAAAATCGTTACGGTGTTCTTCATGGTGTCGGTGGCGACGATGTCGGAATTATCATCGCGAAAGTAGGCGTTTTGGCAATCGGAGAAGAGGCTGATGCTGACGCTCCACTCCACGACGGATTGGCGTCCGTCGGGGTTCCGCCACACTCTGGCCACTCTCACCCTCGCCTTGCCGTGCCTCTGCTCGAACTTGAACCCGTCATTCTCGTTCGCCATGGCCGATCAATCTAGAGGCAGACGAAGAAGAAGAAGAAGAAGATGATGTTTACCAAGTTTTGCTTTTTGGTTGGCGCTCACTTGAACAGAAGAGTTCTTTTGTTTTTGTTTTTGTTTTTTTTTTTTTTTTCTCTTTTTGGGGGTTATATTACCGGAAATAAATGATACCGTGAATACTAGGTAGCAAAAAAAGAAAAAAGAAAAAAAAGATACTGTGAATACTGTGGGTAATAGAATTGTTGGTGAGTTCTGACGCGAGGTAGTTTGGAGATGCTCACCCTCGTTTCAGGGCGCGTGAGGGAGTTCAAATGCCTTAGGCCATCTCCAACCCATTTTTCTATTTTAGAGTCGTTTTACTTCTAAAATAAAGCTTCTGTTTAGTTTTTTAGTTGTTAGTTTGAATTTTATTAGTTTAAATTTTTTTATTTGATAAAAAAATGTAAATTATGTGGTTTAAATTATAATTTGAATTGACGTTTAAATATATAGTTAAAGTTTTAATTTAAATAAAAAATAAAATTCGAAGTGTGAAAAGTAAAGAGAATATGCACTTTTACTGTTCAAAAATAGTTTAAATAATTTGACTTGAAGAGATAGCTAAACTCTAAATTATACTGTTTAGTTTTAAAAAATAATTTTAATTTTTTAGTAATTAATTAATTTCTTAGAGATTAACTCTTATTGTTTTCATTTTAGTTAAATTTTAATATTTTAATATGATGCCACTGTGACGACCCTCCTATGAGGCCGCCACTGTAACTTAAACTTTAACTTGTACTTACTGGGGTTTCTTAAAATTTGCGGAACATTTTTTTTTTTTTTTTATATATAAGAAAGAATACTCTCATAATTTGTAACAATAATTTCAAATAAGTGAATCACTAAATTTCTTAAAGCTTTTCTTAATTTCAGTTAAGATAAAACGTTCTAAAAATATCTTTCAAACAGAGCAGCATTTGAACTCCTATTTCAAATACTCTTTAAAAGCCTTTCTAAAACTAGCCAATTCAATCAGGCCATTTAATTTTGACTTT